TACTATTTTCGGACACTTTACTCGGGTAACCCCCACAAGCCCCTCTAATTAAGTTACTAATGTAGGCCACTTGATGCGGGAATTCCCTCATCAGGACTATTTGGCGCGGGCGTTCTTCGGGGTGGGGGGTGAACCAAAACATACATCCCCTATACTACTCGGATTCCATATCGTTAATTTTCAGATACTTTCTCTGAAAATTATAGTTTGATATACTTAGATCTTATTAACCGAGCGGGAGGTCTGTACGGGATAATCTTGACCGAGGTCTGTACCCGACCGAGGTCAAGATTATCCCGTCGTACAGACCGACCAAGCTCGGTTGATAAGAGTTTTATTATATGACCACTTTTCATTGAAAAGGACAAAATGTTTTCGCCGTAACATTAATATGCGATCGGACCGGTTAATACCGGAGAATCTAGACCAGTCCGCGATGCGATCTATCCAATCAGATTGCTCGATTTGCTAGTGTCCAGGCTCTAAGATTCACGGTCATATAATAATTGCCAGTATAAGTAGAATCGTTTATCAATTAAATCAGCATCTGATGACAGATATTCTTGGTGGAGATATTACACAGAGTGGGAGGGGCTACATCGGTTCAGTCTAGGTCGAGGCGATAGCATTTGAGTGTATACTTTGAATTTCAAAGTAGCGGATTCCTGATTCCAAAAGGGTGGATTCCGGATTCCATTATAAACTGGATTCCGGATTCCAAGGCCTGGATTCCGGATTCTAGAGTGCTGTATTCCGGATTCCAAAGCCTAAAATATCGTGGATTCCGGATTCCGGATTCCCTTACATGGGGCGATCCATTGAACTTCATTGACTACCTGTTAGATTTAAGATTATATTTAAGATAAATTTAATAACTTTTAAAGTGTTACACGGTCTAGCACCATTGTATCTTAGTAAACTTATTTTATCTTTCAAAGAACATTCCAGGTATAACTTAAGGTCTAATAGCAATAACACTCTCGCTCGTCTTGCAATAAAATCGGCCAAGACCACTGGAGATAGAGCCATTTCAGTGACTGTCCCAGTTTTATGGAACGCTTTGCCTCCAAGCCTTAGGGCTGAGGACAAAATTACTAGATTTAAAAAAGAATTCAAAAAATATCTTTTTATTTTTAATTTTTAATTAAATTCTGATATCGGAGTAACTGTGAGTTTTGGTAAATTTAGTTCATTTAGTGACGATTATTCTGATTTTCTATCTGTGAATATAATACATAGGACTACATGAAGTATATCTTCCTGGCTACATGAGCATAAGCTTACTCAGTCTGAATATTAAAAAATCAAAATTCATGATCCTTGGCAGCCTGGTTAAGGTGAAGCATTTTCAGGATATGCAGCCGGTGGTGGATCAAGATAGTCTCGAGAGCGTTACAAAGTTTAAATATCTTGGTATAATCATTAACCAACATCTCACATGGCATGATCACGTTGAGATGCTACACTCCAAGGTTGCACAGCGCCTTGGGGTATTAAAACGTATTAGACACTTGTTACCTATCTATGCTAGGAAGCTTTTTGTCATGCCGATAATATTTCCCCTGCTTTACTATGCATCAATTGTCTGGGATGATAAGAATAATAAGGCCCTAATGAACTTGCTCCAGATACTCCACAATAAAGCAGCTAAATTAATACTCAACACACCACCTTGGTCTTCTTCTTCTGAGTCCCTTAAGAGAACTAAAGTGGCTGGACTTATCTCAGCGAAGAAAATTTCAACGCTGTATATACATGTACAACCAAGTATCTGAAGATGCGTTAAACTTCCCCAAAGGCAAAGACTTCCATGAGTACGACACACGTAACAAATATCTATTGAGAACAGTTAAATCCAACACAAACTGGGGCCTACAAACATCTCAGAATTCCTGCGTTCAAAGTTGAAACTCTTTACCTAATGATATTAAATGACTTACGTCGCATTTTAATAGACTACAGGAAAATAACATAAATGTGGTAAAGTTTAAGCGAATTCTTTGTATATCAAGGAAATCTTTCAAGTAAGTCTGGTCTACGAACGTAAAATTATGATACCTTTCTCAGTTCTTTTCAGCTTCTGCAAAGTGCTAAAAACTTTTGGTAGAATGAAAAAAAGCTCGTTTGGTTAACATTTACAAAATTTCTATCTGATTTTCGAAAATTTAAAAAAGCACTACAATGTTCTTTTTTAATTAGAAGCTAATATTTAGGTTATAATTTTATATATTATATCATATGTAAGAGTTAGTTACCGAGAACGGAGGTAATAAGCCATATACATCCCGAGGGCCGCAGGCCCGAGGGATGTATATGGCTTATTGCCGACGTTCGAGGTAACTAACTCTTTTAGTTATCAATTAAGAAGGTTTTCTATAATATTCTGATGTTAGACTTTTAAGATAATGAAAATA